TTGAATGACCGGTTGTGATTAATAAGGATGACTAACGTAAATTCCCACTGTGTTTGTCAGCCATCTCTTCGGACGATAAGAATCCAACCAAACCTTCCCGCAGCCTCGCAGTGGGGTATTATACCAGTCCATAGCACAAGAATGGAGGTCAATAGCACCGGAAATTCGAAGGATAATCATGTGACAGCAGCAGCTCGAATTCGCGAAAATCAGCGGCGTTCTCGCACACGACGTAAGGAGTACGTCCAGCGCCTTGAGCAACGACTATGGTCTTTCGAAAGGCTTGGTGTAACGGCAACACAAGAGGTTCAAAAAGCGGGAAGAAAAGTCGCACGAGAGAATGAACTACTCCGATCCCTGCTACAACTCCACGGTGTCACGGAAGAATCAGTTGAAGAATACTTGGAGTCGCGAGGACAACCAGCAAGCTCTACTCTATCTCAGTGCATGCCACTAGAGTCTCTAGCATCAGCAAAGCTGCACCCGCCGACTGCCCCAAACCAACGTGCTAGCAGTTATCTTAATTCATCGGCAACCTCGTCACATTGGCAATCGGACAACCCGCCACATCAGCCTCGAGCTATTGGGAGTAGAAATCCACCACCAAAGTCAGATGCGAAGAGCAACATGGATATCCTTCCTTGTCAAGAATTCAATACAAACCGAGCAGCCAAGCTCAATCCCGTCACAGCCGAAAGTAACTCTGAAACGCATGAAGTTGCTAGTATTCAAGATACGGGTCAATCCATGTCATGCGTGACTGCAGCAAGAATTATCGAAAGTATCCAGAATCATTCGGAATATCGTAACGTTCGATCCGAGCTTGGATGCAGCTCCGAATCTACGTGTATGGTAAAGAATATGTCGATTTTTGACATTCTGGACAGATAAGAGGCATGTGCTTGAAGATTTCGGTGGGCATATTTCTTGATTGCTTTGACCTCTCGCAAATCTGGTGTCTTACGACTTGTCCTCAGGCTTGCGGCTCACATATCACTAGAAGCGAGAGCTTAGAGGAACGGCATTTTCCAGACAGAGACGGTACGGTACTATTGTCGAGACTACGGGTCACGTGAGCCAGAAATAGAATTAAGCATTAGATAGCTAGCGAGCTCGCGTACCGAGTCGTCCTTTTCCACCAATAAATTGACATATTATTGTTTCCTTTCCTATTGTCAAGGACTACGTCCAAGCTCAAATCCGCTCTATATTATTACTTTGCTACGTCATACAATACACACACTCGCTTGGGATATATCCTCAGCATTAGACAGCCCGTGTTCGTGATATGAGAAAGGATACATCGTGCGTTATCCTGGTTACCTTTCTTGTCTTAACCCAGGCTGTTAGTCATATATTTGGAACCCCTGGCATTGATGATACTCGGCATGAGTAAAAAGACGAATGTTCCAGGACTACTGATACTTCCCTTCATTATTAACCTATTATGTACAACAAAAATAATAATATATTCGGATGATCTATACTTTGAAGCTGACGTTGACATTGAATCTCATCCTAATGACTTGAAGTAGTAACAATAGTATTTGAGGCCTATAACGTTACGCTACGTCATTGATTTGGTTTGCTTCTTCCGATTTCGACTTTCGTTGTGACCCGGTTTGTTATCACCAGGATTCGAACCTCAACGTTGTCTCATGGGATGTCAGGTGACCCTAACCTAGTTCACTTTCTTACGCCATTGCCCCGCATGCCCTTACATACGTCGCTTCCTCTCTCCACTAGTTGGGTTTGGCCGTTAAAACTTCTTCTGGTCACTTCTAGGTCTTCCATTTGCTCGTATCGCTTGTGAGTGCAGTGGAACGGAACAAGGGGTGACTCCGCATCAATCCTATGGCTCGACAGAAGAAAACAAAGGTCCGTCGCCGCCAGCGTTATCTTCCACGGTTTATCTCTTACCGGAATTATTTTTAATAGATCGAAGATCTGGCTCGCATCCGCAACAACCAGCGGAATTGTCGAGAACGTAGGCGAGGGTACATTGCAGAGCTCGAGCAGAAAGTGAAATACTATGAAAAAGAGAGGGCTCAATGCTATACAAGGCTTCAAGATAAAGCACAAAACCTTCTTCGCGAGAACGAAGTTCTGAAAACGTTATTTGATCCATCAAGCGTCAGTGGGAGCCACCGAGACCAGAGTCTCACAGACCGGTCAAAACGTCCTGATGGGGATTGGGAAGGTACTTCCACCCGAACCCAAACCCCTTGTCTCATCAATTTCGAGTATGGAGAACCTCAAGGGCAGGTAAGTGAATATTTCCAATCCTTCACCCCTTATCTATGTCCAGGATCTCCACTGCAAGATAATACTGAATTTGCTGACTGCAACTATAGTCTCTGGGTATAGAAGCATCACATACGTTCACCAATATTGTCAATCAACCTCCGCTGCTTGCCCACTTAAATGGTACTGAGTTGAACCAAGTCGCCGCACCTAGTGAAGCCTTTCCTGGCTTTGCTGCGCATATAAACGACGCGAGAGTCAATGTACCGACGTATTTTCCGACTTTGTCGTCGTTTTACGATCCTCTAGATACTGCAGGGACTAAAACAATGATCTGCGATAGGTTTCAACCAGCATATTCTCTGACACTCTGGCCTGTGTTAACAGACGAAACGGCAAGAGAGGATAGATCTATGCTCTGTTCTGTGGCTTACAGACTGATCTTGCAATTCAACAAGAGACAATACGATGACATGGAGATCGATATCAGGATTCGTTGCGGTTTCAGACTGGGCCGTACACAATCGGAAGACTGTAGGGTTGATATCGGGGTTCTGTTTGCGGTTCTCGCGGAGATCTCTTTTTAATACACAAACAAATATTGAGTCCAAATTTCATTTAAGTCTGATGGAGATAATATAAATCCCTTGTAAAGCGAAACGCTGGGCATAATAGGCCTGTTATTCTTCCTTGTTGACGATTCAGCATAAGCAAAGTCCGTAAATCGGATGCGACACAAATTGATAACATGTAGCATAAACATTAAAACAATTAATTCGCCCTATACAAGGCTACCTAATTACTAGCGCTGCACAAGCTATGTTGAATAGTTCCATCTGCGTGAAACAGAAGGCTTGCAGGGCTGGAATTCAATTTTAAAACGTTCAGTCATGAGTGTCGGGCTTTACGGCAAATATTTTGAAAGAGTCTATTTAACGAGAACCATGCGGGGAGTTGTTAGTGATGCCTCGATACTATGTTTCTTTGTAGATCCACTCACCAGTCCAAATGTTGAAATCCACATCCGGCAGATTGTGTATCTCCCTGCTGGTACTGCGGTTCATCGGATCACAGCATGAGCTCGTAGGGGCCGGTCTATTAGCTCCCTCACTCTTCCACATTTCCTTATAAACATTGAGGTCTGCATTAGTATTCAGGATCACTGCATCTATAATATACTGATTAGGACAAGATCGAATGAGGAAGACCCCGAGAAATGTAGTATGGATACCTTGGAACCCTGCTTCTTTCAGATATCTCTCATAGTCGGCAACCTGGCTAGCACCAGCTATACAGCCAACATATAAGGAGAGATCCTTCTTGATCTCCATCGGAAGCTCTCGCTTTGCCAGGATGTCGCTGATGGCAACCCTACCTCCCGGCTTCAGTAGACGAAACATTTCCTGAAAGACTAGAGGCTTTTCGATTTCCGGCACTAAGTTTATCACACAATTACTGATGATGCAATCAGCGGTGGACGATGGTAACGGTATGGAAGTAATGAACGCTTCGATGAAGGATGCATTGTTGGCACCGGCGTTCTTTGCGTTCCGACGTGCGAGTTCCAGCATTTCCTGCCAGTTTTAAGTCAGAATTAAAGGGCTTAGGCAGGAAACGATGTGCGTACCTTGGTCATATCAATACCAATGGCCTTTCCTTCCACTCCAACCTTTTTTGCCGCTAGCAAAACGTCAATGCCGCCACCACTACCCAAATCAATCACAGTCTCGCCCTATATATAGATATTAAAATCAACGCTTATAGGCGACCGGGATAATACCTACCACAGCTATGTTTGCCGTTGCCAACGGATTCCCACAGCTGACACCTAAATTCGCATTCTCTGGGATAGAACGCAGATCCTCAAGATCATACCCAAACGCACTTGCGACTTTGCGTTCATGATCTTTTTGGCTATGAGGGTCGGTCTGCCTCGCAACTTCAGCGTAGCGGTCTTGCACACAACGATAGGTATCATTCGAATCCATTCCGTTGAGCTTTGCGATTCTGGGCCCGGAAGCAAAGGGGAATGCCGGTTAAGTGCAGGCTATACGAATGCTTCGTCTCAAGGACATAATGTGAAGGGATCAAGCCTAATTATATACTACACGTGTTATCTGAAGTCTATTTAGCGATGCCACATCTATAACGTCGTCGATGTGACGAAAGGCAGTCCACAGTGTCCACTGATTGGCCGATTGATACTTTCTGGAATGTCACCGTTTGTCAACGGAATGTCACCGCCAAGCCTATCTGTCATGGGACCGGTCACCCAGCCGCCCCCAAATTGTTAAAAGAACAGACGTATGGATGATATCTACATAATGGTAACCGCGAAAATATCCCAGTCAGCTGATAATCTGTTAAATTAATCAAAGCCCCGTGATAGACTACTAGCGCCTAGAACCCAGGAATTGATACCCAGGCTAATGCGCAATACCGAAGCAGCTTCGATTTATCAGTTGCAACGAATGCAGACGGAAACGCCACTTGCGCGTCTGCAGAATCATTTGAATTATAAATCAGTCCATATCTCCCCGATTGTCCTCATAAATTGTATCAAGCCTTGTTCATGCAATATTGGCCAGTATTCATTATTAATAGTATTACCCATAGTAGATGCATGCCTTCAGGCTCTAGCTTCTTCACCATAAATCCTTGAAATCGCAAAGGAAGGTGTACCAATAACAAACGAAGAAAAGAGATCCCAAAAGTTTAATTAAGCTGCCAGGCGGGAATTTTCATTCCTTTTCGCTTCAGTCCTTCCAGCCAACTCGTTTGGCTATGAATTTGACGACATAGACAAGGCCAAGCAGTACCGGGACCTCGATCAGTGGCCCGACAGTAGAGGCAAGCGCGTTGGCACCAAATGTCGCGACAGCCACAGCAATCGCAAGCTCGAAATTATTGCTGGCGGCGGTGAAACTTTGTGTGGCAGCTAACTTGTAACCAAACCCGAGCTTGTAGGTCACAAGAAGGGTCACGAAGAAGACAATGACAAAATAAACTATAAGCGGAGCGGCAACGCGGACCACCGATACAATTTGATGAACCACCTGCCGGCCCTGGGATGCAAATAACACCAGGATCGTGAAGAGGAGTCCAAGGAGCGACCATGGGCCAGCCCACTTTAGGAAAACCTGATCGTACCAACGTGGGCTGGTGAACTTTCGGAGGGCAATGCGAGTAATGATTGCAGCACCAAGAGGGATGCCAAGGAAAACTGCCACGCTTGTGGCAGCGGCCGAGTAAGATAGTGTTACTTGACTACCAGAATGACTGATGATCTGGATAAAGAAAATGGCCAAGGGTGCAAAGAGCACCATTTGCAGTAGTGAGTTAACCGCAACGAGGATAGCGCAGTATTCACTATCGCCACCAGCGAGACCGGTCCATATAAGAACCTATCAGCAATAAGAATTAGTCTAGTTCAGGCACATCGTAGAGAAAAAGTAACGTACCATAGCAATGCATCTGGCCAGTCCAACTAAAATCAAACCTTCTCGAAGCTCCGGTTCGTCTGGTAGAAAAGCCCATGCCAGTGCGAGCTAGGGAAGTATATTGTTAGCAAGTTTCGCCGCGACGAAGTCGAAAAAGGTCTCACCATCAAAAAAGGCGCAATAATCCAGTTAACAAAGACACTAAATGCAATCTGGATCCAAATACCACGCTCTCGGAAGACGTGGTGTAAAGACTCGTATCGCACTTTACACAAAATAGGATACATCATGACCAGGAGACCGATCGCTTGCAACGGTTAGTTAAAGATTGTACTACCAAGAAAGGAGTAGATACCTATGGGAACAGACACCCCAACGAACTTTCCCTTCTGGAGGGCCGGTCCCGTACTTTCCACAAAATTTCCCAAGATGATTCCGATGGCCATGGCAAGGAAGATCCATACGGCCAGAAAACGATCTAGCCAGCCGAGCCCTTTAAAGGCTGATTGCTTGGTCGTAGTCTGCCCAGATTCGTTCGTCTTTTGTTTTTCAACATCCTCGGCCGTGGGATTTGTTGACTGATTAATAGCTGTTGTTTCGGTTTCGTGGGATTGCGGTTCAGCCTGCATGGACATGTTTGCCTGAGGAATGCTTGTAGCCATCTCTAGCATCAGCAGACTATGTGCGTAAGGTGCTTCTGAGAATAGCTTCAGTTGAATTGATGAACTTCAGGAAATTCAATAGTAAGACAATAATTGCTCGGAAACCTGTATCAACGGTGCAGAGCAGGCTTTTATATATGAAGAACCCAGAGTTTCCTCTTAAAAAGGGAATGTACGGTTGATCCTGATAGAGTTAGAGTGGTGATTTGTGATAGCCAATCATATCGGGCATGTGACAAGTCTCTCAGAATTGGCCAATAAAAATCGAGGAGTGACATAGGGATGCACTAGGCAAGTGATTTGTCATGATGGAAAATGCTGAATTCTTCCATAAAAATCCTCGACCAATGAAAGGGTCAGAGTGACATACAGGCTGCTATGAAAGAGGTATAGAACTGACGATGCAAAGCTGTTTTCAATGTCAGTCCCTACATAGCTAGTAATAGAGTTATATTACTAGCTGCCAGTGCAACTTTCTTCGTGACGACTGCCTAAGATTATATTTCAAATGAGCAGACAGTAGTATGTACTACAGCCATGTAGGCTCTATCCTGAATGCGATTTCGGTAAGAACGGCGCGGACGGCTCACAAATCGGGCCTGATCGAACGCTATTGACTTAACGGATGAGAACCCTTCATAAAAGATTGTTCTAGATCGATGCGTTATTAATTCTCCCTTTTCCCGCCAAAGATGCTATATAAGATCCCAACCACAGCCGCTTTGTTCCTACCGCTTGTGCTGAAACAGAGATATCACCATATTCACTTTTCTTTCGTTCTTGATATTACTTGACGGCACCCTCTATTCATACCCACCCGTCCTGTCATCGGGATAATCATATCCCTCATATTCAACTAGCTACTCACTAGGGCTACTCCACCGACAACTCGAAAAACACGCCCATCATGTCTAATAAGCCCAGTGTCTTATTTGTCTGCGTTCACAACGCTGGTCGTTCGCAAATGGCGGCCGGTTTCCTTAGTCATCTCGCAGGTGACAGCATTGAAGTACGCTCCGCCGGATCTGCCCCAGCCGACTCTATCAATCCGGCTGTCCTCGAAGCCATGCGTGAAGAAGGGATCGACCTCAGCAGCCAAAACCCCAAGATCCTAACTGCCGATGCGGTACAAGCCAGTGATGTTGTCATTACCATGGGCTGTGGGGACGTCTGTCCATTCTTCCCAGGAAAGCGCTATCTCGATTGGCAGCTTGACGACCCTGCCGGGCAAGGCTTACAATCTGTGCGAACTATCCGTGACGAAATCCGTCAGCGTGTTGAGAGACTTATCACTGAACTGCGGACCCACAGTTCACCAATTTGAGCATGCTGTATACAACAGAGTAAGGTGGTGATATGGCAGTTTTGGCATGTATCGAGGATTATGAACGGTCGCGTGGCTGGCATTTTTTTGTATTACGTGACTTACCTTTCTGGAGGCTATGATATCACTTCTAGCAGCATCATCAACTTTTGCCTTTCAATGCATCGAATTGAAAGGCAACCGTCTCCACTCTAACTCACGCGCATTTCCTGATACCTAGACACCCCCCCCAAGTCTAGTGCGAGAATTTATTTCACCGTGCTACCCGAGTTAGATTTCCTCTTAGACAAGTTCGTGACATGCCCACTTTTATGCCATATTTCCCAGGCCCCAAATGCAAGCTGCATTGGCATTGGCAGAATAAAACGTGATTAATTACGCCCACCCTTCCTAGACCCCGCACACATAACGTGTATCTCCAAATATTGATGATACCACTTATTGTTTCGCGAGTGAGACTCACGTTTCTGGGATCATATCCGACCCTAGGGTCCATAGCTTGGTTCCTAGGCACGCTCTTAGTCGCTTCTAGTGATCAGACTCATAGTTCCTAGAGGAGCTATAGCTCCCGGGAGTGAATGGTATAGCTCCGGGGAACGAGGAGTGGGATTTTCCTGCGTTTAGTAAGATCGGTGCCAGTGAATCATAGATCCCGGGAGCACGAAGGAGAGTCAGGGGTTGGGAATAAAAACGTGACTCTCGAGAGATATCTGATTTCAAATATATTGCTGTACTAGCAATCAAGCACACAACTTTCATTAAGATGCCATCTGAAGCGCTTGGAGGCCTTCCCGAATACTTGAAAGGGGAACATCGGAGCCTAGGGTCAACAAGTCTGCGCCGTTCTTGAAAAAGACGATGAAGGGCAATTTCGTATTGAGAAGGGCACTGGAGAGCATGGCGTGCTTTCTGACGTCGACTTGGTAGAACTTGACGGTTGTGAACTCATTGCTTAGCTCCTCAATTTTCGAGGCGACCGCCTTGCACTTATCGTCCAAAGAGGAAAGGAAGGTGACCACAACGGGCTCAACCGAATGCTCGACTTTCCGCATATACTCCTCGTTCCTGGAGGACACTAGGTTAAGCGTGATTATTACGTCTCAGGGAAAGATACCCAACGTACGTCATGAGCTCAGCGACAGACCCACTAGCCATGCTGATAGGCGTGGCAGTGGAGAATACTGACAGTGACTGCGGAAATAGTGGACCAGTAGGTACTGTACTACTTTCCAAATTCTTTCTGAGTTTGCACCGAAACTTTATCCACGTGACCATGTGATTGATGACTAATGCCATAGTCCAGTGTTGGGCTAACTAGATTCGGCAACGAGGAAATGCACACTTGTATGTACGCCTAGTCGACTGTGGCGTCACATAGCCGGAGTGTAAGTATTCCAGAAGAGAAGAATAGGATGAATGCTGTTCTATGCCAAAATCATTGCGGCATCTTGTTCGCACAGCTACGGCTGAAGGTCACCGTAGCCATCATACCATGCAAACGGAAATTCAAACTATTTAAAGTGTATGAGGAGAAAAATATGTAAAGAATTGCAAACCTCTTGATTGGATTGTGTGTTTTGCAGTGTTATGGTACTCCAAGGTGGAGAAAGGAGTGAGAAAGAACCAATCACCCATTATGTTGCCACCCTCAACAAATTAGCTCATTTGCACGGCCGCCCATAGGATCTATGGCTGTGAAGCGCATTGTTTTCTGGGGCACGACGTGAGATATGGCTTTCGCATGCTGGTGCTACCCACTGGTCCGTTTCAGTCACGGAGTTTGCGGCATTTTATTGGGAAGACCTTGCTTGACTCCCTGATGCTCCATATAGGTAAAACCTTTTCCAAAGGGGGTGCTTGTAACACGTTCCGAGAAGTAACGTTCTGTTAAGATATAATCTATCTACTTGCAGGGTAGGAGGCCTATCAATAAGGTAATGAAGGTAGCATCAACCTAGACTTGGCCTGGATTGATCCCCTCTTTTTGTGGTGTCTGTGTCGGCCATTGCATTCAAAAAGCAAACGAACAAATCGAACTACACAACTATGTAAATGGTCCTTGCCGCAACCTTCCCCGTCGGGATAGGTGCAACAGCCCATCTGGTATATGCCTTACGCGTAAGGACAGGACAGCTTCAGGGAATACTGGTATCTGCCCCTGAATTTTCGAATCATATCCCCAGGCGTCTCTCCAAATAGTTTATTCTGAGCATGGGACTGTTCTCGATGCGCCAACACACTGACCGCAGGAATGAATGGCGCCGGATGACATAAAATTGAAGCCGATGGGGGCTGCATGATATTCCAGGCTGAGCAATATCCCAATCATGTGCGACATCGGTCGGATGTGGTGAGGAGCCGGATTTTCGTAGAAATCGAGGCTCGACTCAACACATTGAGGTGAACTTTTCGGGTGTGTTCAGGATACTGGTGAGCGTCCATGAATATGAGTAACTCTGTTAAATGAACTCGTGTTGGTTGCCTTCGAGTCAACTGTTGAACAATTAAACCAGAAATGGTAAAGGTTGGCACACATAATGTTGATCATACTGTAAAAGTGGTGATGAAAAGCACTAAAGGATGGCCGGTGAGAAAAAGATGGCGCCTCTCGGACAAAAGTACGGTGGTCAATTATTGCCGTTGCCAGAATAAAACGTTGATGATTACACCACCCTTCCCTCGCCCCGCACACATCACGTGTATCCCCTAAAACATCAAGTCACGCCCAAAGTTAGTTGCGTGAAACGTTTAGGCCTCTGTGGTCGGTTGATTTTCTGCCACATATTCCAAGTCAGCTATTTAGTTAACTAAAAACGACACTTTCTATGATAACTACGATAACTGTACTGCAGCATGAATGAGGATAAAATAATAGAGTGCCAGGAGCTGTCAACGAGTGTTAAAAGGCCAATCAATGCTGGTGAAAGCATGAAGGCCAACAGGCAAGAGAAAATTTACAGCACGTGATTAAACTATTGATTGTCTCTCAGCGATCCGACTACAAAATAGTCGAAAAGAATAACAAACCGATTAATACATCTTCTTTTTCAACGCAGTGAAAGAAATAGGGTGTTTATTGAGTATGATTGGCTAGGAAACACTCCCCAATTCACACTCCCCAATTGCTTTTCGAATGTTGTCTCGGTCGTGCTATTTGTAGTCACGGCAGGCAACTTTAAGTGGGAGGGCGAATAACTTAAACCGGTCCGACCGATGTCCACTTCGCCACCGACAGCTCATCTTACCATCAACGTGTCTCAAGTCACTCATCACTTTTGCACTCTGCTTAAATTCTATTCATCAGAAGCATACAAGGGCACAGCTCACGTTCTAGCTCCGTGCTTTGTTCGACATAATCGCCAGCAATGCTTATCAATGGTGAGAAGTGGGCTTGTGACGCCTGTATCCGTGGCCACCGTGCTGCCAGTTGTTCCCATTCCGGTCCGTCAGTACTGAGATACTGATTTGGTGCCCTGCTGATTGATTCCCTAGAGCGTCCCTTGACCCTTATCAGTAAAAAAGGGCGACCAGTCTCTCAGTGCACTCACTGTCGTAGTCTACGCGAATCACGATCAGCACATGTCAAGTGCGGATGTGGCAATAATAACAGAGCAAAGAATGACTGCAAGACTCGTGAGTATATTAGTATTTGGTATGCTTGGCTGGTTCCTTGCTAACTAAATTAATGCACAGAAAATTATTATCCACAATGTAATTGCGTTCGTGGGGAGCGTTGTGTCTGTGCGTTGAAGAAAGAGCCGTCCCTAGAACTCGATTCTGGGCTTTCTCCGCCGCATCCCCTTGTCCACGAACACAGAAAGAGCACGTTATCCGAGTCAGAGAGCGCAGTAGCTGCCCTCCACGAAGATCGTTGCAGGTCTCCTGGACAGTTCACCTCTATACAGACAAGTCCCTCAGCAAGTATACCCAAATCCCAAACTTTGAATCAGCACAGCTGGCTCCAGTATAAGTCAGCTGAGGACAGCTTTGCCGCAAACTCAGTTATATCACCTGCCGACCTCTCATCCTTCACTGGCCTTTCTTCCGCCATGACACCTGGCTACCCCCGATACATAGAACCCGCTTCAGCACCAAGGGCTCTTGATAACTTCTCAGTTCATCGAACTGTGACAGAGAATCCTGATCTGGATATGCCGTCCTTTTCTTCTGTTGACTTCCCAATAATGACAGCCTCAAGCGGACTCGTGAACGGCATAAATTCCGAGAATCTGTATGGAGAGGACATGTTTTCCTCCACTTATACGCAGCTCTCACCAGGCCGCACAGGAGCAGACGCCTATACTGCTGATTGGGAGGGGTCCCATCCAGATGTGTTTGGTACTGGCAATGCTCAAATTCCGCACGGCTTCACTCCTTACGCTTTGCGCTTACCCTCGCCATTATTATTCAACGGTACTGGCGAGGTGAAGGAACTTGAAGCATCTTCAAACCATGGAAATGAAGGAGCTAGTCAACCATACGCACGTCGAATACATGATCCCTCCACGTCAGCTGCACAGTACTAGTTGCATCCAGAGACACGGAAGATCATCCTTTCAATAGTCCGGAGGGCAGTTACTTTCGGGTACTTGCAAGAAAGACTATGAGACCACGCAAGCATTCGTCAGACCACCTGTTAAATAATTCGTCCCAGACCATGAGAATATAATGTCCACCATCTTCAACAGCGTGCCCTTTTATGCGATTAAGCAGTCATTATGACCAAGTTTCAAGCTTAGTTAATCTCTTCAGGTCATGCATTGGTTACCTGTATCCCCAGGCAAACATCTGCGCCGCACATCTTGCTATACTCTTGCAGAAAGGAATGAAATACTCAGATGAGTTAGGAGTAGGTGATGGGATCAGTGCTATATATTTATAGGTAGTGAATGAAGTTCAGAATGGTAAAAAGAGGAAATGTGCCTTTTGATCTTCAGTGGACCACGGTTTTCGCCTAAATGACCACGATTTTGGCTTCGCAAACGTGTCAGGGATGAACTACCATTTCCTCTCTATCGTTGAGGGCTTTACAATAATATTCAAGCTGTCTCCGAGAACATACCAGATTGTGAGCCGAAGGTGCGAATAGGGTGAGTAAAGTAATAGAGTAGCAGGTACTACCGTAACACTGCCTTTGGAAGGCGTTAGCATCGGGTTCTGCCAGTTTCAGAATTTCATCAATGTCGATGGACTTCAGATTGCTCGGTGCTAGAGGTAGCGCGTGCGCCGATCACCGTCGGAAAAAGGATTGATTTGATTCAGATCTGATTCGGACTCGTCACTACGGCTGGCAAATCCGTAGGCGTCGTTATGGGATGCAGCGTCAACGGTGAGGAATGGCAAAAATTGTTCTACTTCCGGTATATCGTCCGACGAGGGAGTGAGATCAGGAAAGCCGAAATAGGGGTCATCGAAGCTCACATACGATAGATTCTGTCTATAGGATGTTGAGTAGGTCTTTGGACAGGCATGCCTCCCTTGACGCTTTCATAGAGTCCCCGCGGCTGTTCATCGTCTATGATGTTCCGGCCTGGCTTTAATGCTAGCTCAATTCCACCTGAAACCTGTGTCAACACTTCTTCAGCGTTGCTGACAATACCGGCGAATCGGATGCGAGGTTGGATGGCGCTTAATCTTGTCAACTCCGGTGCAGTCAACACTCTACGCGTTTCTCTAATGCGCACTCTATGTTTTTATATGCTGCAGACGGGCTATATGTAAAGATGCAAGAAGTAAAAGTAGGTATCACCTGGTTCTCGCATGGTTCGTCAGGCACTCACATCACTGATCTAGGTACTCGAAATCGCGATCGGCCAGAGGTATTCAGCTATGATTCGACTAGATCAGCCTCCTGGCGGCTACTTTCTCAGATTTGCCACATACCCCCAAGGAGATATGCAACAAGTGGTTGAATCTCTTTCCTTTTGAATCAGTGGTTCCTCTTCCTGGGCCTGCTAATCAGACACACGCCTTTACGATCAGCCAGACAGGAACTGTGACAGGGTAGTGGACAGAGCTCCATATACCGAACCGAATATCCCCATTATTGAGGGTAACATATCAGATGGCTGGTACGCGAATACAACCATCCATATGCCGTCGAATTCGACAATTGACATTATCATGAGGATCTCAGATGATTCCATGGATTCGGTAAGCTCGCCTACGCCAATCCTGATCACCCGTCTTTGGTTAGCAAAGGACTGATTCATAACGGACACAGATGGGCCACCCCATGCAGCTGCATGGCCATAAATCCTGGGTTCTCAGCTCCGGAATCGGCTCGTTTCCATATAGTTCCGTTACCGACGCGCCCCCGTCGTTAATCGACCTCAAAAATCCTCTCTATCATGACAAAACAGACCTTCCGCCATCCGAATGGGTTGCCATCAGGTATAGTACTATGCTTTATTCGGCTCCACTTGAAGGAGTGTTCTCAATTGTGTTCGACAGGTACATTACATGAATGGATTGGCGCGCTTCACTTCCCGACCGTTAAAATGATATTCAGTGACGTCATTGTACAGGACTTCACAATTGTTTCTCATTTCTACTTGACCGCCAGTTAGCCACGACTAATTAAAACTGTTTTTAAAAACTCACACTGCAGGAATTGCACGAGCAGTCCTTGCTTGAGCAGGTACAGTTGCTGGGGCCATTGCATGCACAGTTAGCGCCACAAGTGCATGCCATCTTCAGTGTAGTCGTCGACTTGAGAACGTATTTGTCAGGAGACGGAAGAAGATGCGAGCGGAGCAATAATATGGTTATGTGGAAAGCCTGTATTCTTATGGGATAAGTAAACGTAAAGGTTACATCATGATGGCGGAAGCAGCTACAGTGGGCATCTAACTTGTGCGAGGCAAAATACCGCTCGCTACCTGAAGCACAGCCCCTGTTCTATGATAATTAGACTTACTGTGGCTAATAGCTAACTAGGTTTGAGTGCCCATGGAACACGGACAGAAAAGCATTGAAAGGCGCGTAAAGTACGCACAAATCCCGCAACAGTGTCATGCGGAGTACAATAGCGATCTGGAACCAGTGACATTATTAGTCTTATTAAGAATGCTAAACGGCCACATCCCTCTCCGCATCTACACGATTTGATCGTCCGAGGCCGCTGTTATAGTTCTAACTTCTGATATTGCAACCTCACCACAGCGATGCCATCATTTTATCCTCGGGTCCTGGATTACCAAGCTCCCGGTTATCCGTCAAATTATACAGAATTCCTGGTCCAGCTCTCCGTGATGCAGTGAAAAATATAATTCTAATGGTCGACAGATCGCTGTTAATACCCTCCTGCTATGCGGCTCCCTTATTGTTTTTGGGCTTCACTGCCTTTTGTACGGCCCTTTTGAACCTGCAGAAAGCGAAGAGCTATATGCAAGATTTGTCCCAGCTACTCTCGAGTCCATTATGACAGTGATCATCCTCGACATAGACGTCGACATAGAATTTCTATTATTATTTACCGCACTACTAGCGGGAAGGATGTGGGTCTGGATAGGAGAATGGAGGGTCGACTCGCTCCGTCTAGAGCGAACTACGCGAATGCCCACCTATGTCTGCGTGCTGATTGCTGTCTTATTACCTCTAACTTTCGAGATGTTCATGATGGGTCGCATTTTCCACGCCGCACAACGGACCACCGATGCAAAGGTTGTGATTATGTTTGGTTTCGAGCATACAATCGTGTCGATATCGGCTATGTCAACGACGCTGTCATTTTTTTCGCTACGTGAGGAGGCATTCATGAGAAATCCCTCCGAAGAACGAAAGGACAAAAGGCGAGCGATGTTTTCTCTGAATGCAATAACAGGTAAACACAATTGCCACGTTCAATCAACTGCATTTCAAAACCTGGCTTTGCTAATAAGTTTCAGAGTGCGCAGTGCTGTTTATCAGCGTATCCTACCTTCTTGTCTGCCTTGTCTCTTATAAGCGCCCTATCATCACTAGCCATATATTTGCCACTTCCCTCTCGCTCATAACGCGCTTACGTGCTTTTCTTAACTATCAATGGGCTCTTCAAGAAATTAATGAACGAAATTCCGATGCTACCGCTGGACAGATAGGTGAGGCAAATGTGTGTGTGATCTGCTATGAGCGTATGTGGCCGTGGGAGCAAGTCTACGCTGCAAAGGGGCTTAGTTCGGCCGATGAGAGACCCACCCCGGGATATATACAAGCCACGCGTCATGAACAAATGTCTCGAACGAAAAGGCTTCTTTGTGGGCATGTGTTTCATTTGGGCTGTCTCCAAATCTGGTTTGAAAGGCAGGCAATTTGCCCACTATGCCGGGGAATCATCCACGGAAACCACCGACCTTCAAGATCTTAATTATTGAGGGGACCACAATATGCTTTGAGAATATTTTAAACAGTATGCCTGTCTCAGAATCAAATGTGAACTAGAAGAACATGTGACCTGTGGAAGGGATGATGATGTAGCAGCCGATAACTACAGAGGGCTGCATTAAGTTCCGAGTCAAATTCAAGAAGACAAAAAGCCCTTTAGGTGGATAGAAACAATTTATTTCGCTCTTTGAAATTAGTATTGGGATCGATTTCACACTAGTATGAACCAGCACTAGTTTCTAGTGCCAAGAAACCAATGAGCTCCTCGGACGCAGGGAGTGGTCTGCCCAATCACTGGTGACGCGCGCTCTGCAAGCTCCGCACGCCGATGCCCTGAAACGACATGGGAAAAAGGATGAAAGATAGCCGAAAAGATTATGAAACATGAAAAAGATAAAAGTGGCCAAATCCAGAAACGTAGGGAGTTCGGAAAGAAGTAACTTTATTGGATACGGCAATAAAGCCATGAGAGCGGAAAGTGTATATACTCCTAAATAGGTAAGGCAGGAATTAGTGTTATTGGATGGACACAGCAGCAATCGGAAGAGAGTACGGGAACAAAAAGTAACGCTAAGGTAGTAGACTATGGATCCTTCTCAAGAGAGCGAAGTTTCTCAGTGTCAGAGACAACCAATGAAAACCATGCGATCCTAATAGTATCTAATTATCTCATTATTGATGATTTGCACGTGACCCAGGCAATTTCGTGACTCTCGGTGGCACCTCTGTATGAACAGCCACTCAAGTAGTTTGACTATTGCCGGGGTCATAACAGCCAATCCAGGTTGTCCAACTACGCCTTTCAGGTTTTCTTTCATGACTTTAGCAAGGACCCCTTCAAGTGCGCATTAAAAACCAAGGTCCAAGTTCCACAGTCCAAAGCCAAAGCAAAATTAAAAAAAAAGGTCTGTTTTCGAGGAACTCAATCATCCGATCTGAAACCGACCAGTGGCAGTCGAGCCTTCATCAAAAGACTGCTGGATACGACACTGACACTGCTCAATGCCATCGCGAGGCTGGACCAGACTGGATCCAACCGGACATGGCTGCCGTTGCTGACGATTGGGTAAAACACTCCCGCAGCGACTGGCACGGCAATGCAGTTGTAAACCAGCGCCCAGACGAAGTTAAACTTGATCCGGCGGAAAACGACGCGGCTTAGATCGATGAGCGTCAGGAGAGAGGAAAGACGAGAAGACACGAGGACAAATTCTGCAGCCGAGATCGCAATGTCCGACCCTGAACCAATGGCAATGCCGACGTCGGCCGCGGTTAGCGCAGGCGAATCGTTAATCCCATCACCAACCATCGCGACAAGTGCCCGGGCGGAGCCTGTTTCCTTCTGTAGGGTGTTCTGGAGATATCGAATCTTTTCTGCCTTTTGCTCGGGCAGAATACCGGCAAGGATGTTCTCTGGCGGGATTCCGACCATGCTGCCCACCGCATGCGCAGTCGTCGGGTTATCTCCTGATATCATCCACACCGCGATACCCCGATCCTGGATAGCCTTGATGGTCCCCTTGGCCTCGATCCGGATGGGGTCGGCTACTGCCAACATGATGGAGAGCTTCCAGGGGACTATTTCGGTGGCTGATTGCTCCGGGCGAATTCTGTGCCCTACCAGGACCACAGAATTGGCCTGGCGCTTCCAGGCGCTCAATTTTTCGGCACTGACCGGAGGGATGACGATTCCGTGATCTTGCATCAAGGCCTCATTGCCCACGATGACTTCCAGGACAGATGAGACCCGATTGCGAGCGCCGAATGAGCCTTTCATACCCTTTCCTGGTATTTCATCCACCATAACCGCTTTGAGGACCGGTGCTAGCTTGGAGGCGGCAAAAATCACAACCGCCTTAGCAATCGGGTGATTGCTGTTCTGTTCGAGCTCCATAACGGCGCCCCAAAGATCATCGACGCCTGCGCTATGTGTTACCTCATGATCAGTGATAGAAGGTTCGCCGCCCTTGGTAATAGTGCCGGTTTTATCAAAGACGATGCAGTCAAGCTGGCTGGCCTCTTGGAAGGCTTCACCCCCACCTTTGACGAGGATCCCATGCTGAGCCGCGAGACCACCACCGACAAAAAGGGCCGTCGGCGCTGCGAGTCCGATACCACAGGGGCACGCGACAACAAAAACTGAGATGGCGAATTGCAACGACCAGAAACCCCAGCCTCCCGGAGTGTCGGCCTTCCAGGAGTCGGGCAACCGGCTGGAGACACCAAGGCCCAGCCAAATTACCCAGTCCAACACCGCGATGAGGGTGATGACGGGAACAAAAAACCCCGTAATCAAGTCTGCCGTGCGCTCGATTGGCGCTCGACGGACCTGCCCCTGGCGAACGGTGTTGATGATCTGATCCAACATCGAGTCGCCTGAAAGATGGGTGACACGGACCAAGACCGGGTTTGCCTGGTTGACTGTTCCCGAAAAAACTTCGTCTCCAATGGACTTGGAGACCGGTCTTGATTCCCCAGTCAGACTCGACTCGTCAAACTGTGACTCTCCGTCGATCACCGTTCCGTCATACGGAGGTGAGGCACCGTTCGCCACCCGCACCACATCTCCGAACTCCAGTTGGTCGATTGGAACTGTGCTGGAATCCGCAGAGGCGGAGAGGCTACCCGCTCCGGCCGTGTCCACAAGTGTGGCCTCTCTCGGGCGCAGCTTGCCCAGGAGGCTAACTGCATTTCCCGCTTTGGCTTTGCTGTAGGCCTCGAGCAACCGGCCGATCAGTAGGAACATGGTCAAAAAGACAACCGCATCGAAGTACGAGCCGGTATGAGAAGCTTTGGGGCTACCGTGTGGCTGCGAGGCATTGATGGCCAGGATAGCGATGGAGGAGAAGTAGGCGATGCTAGTGCCCAGTGACATAAGCATATCCATACTTCCAAAGCGATAGAATCTACGCAAGATAGGATTTTTGCTTCCGGGTCGCCAGAGCGCCTTGAGCTCGGTGAGCATGCGGCGGTGGAAAATGTCTGCAGCGAAGAAATAGACAGGACTCGACGTGATGAAGAGCGCCCACTCAGAGCGTGATGCTTCACCTGACCACATAGGCTCCTCGAGGTAAATCCGACCGGGATTGTCGTTGTGGACCAGGGACATATACACCACACCGATGATAAAAGTCGGGATGGCAGCTAGCACGGCCAAAATCAACCGGCGAGCGATATGCCATTGATGCCGGCGATGCATCGCCTGAGAGCGTTCCTCAAGGCTCGGAGGGTGGTACACTGAAACGGTAAAGGCTTTATCGATATCGGCAATCGTGCTCATGATATGTCGGATGGTAAATTTTGGCGCCTCAGGCAGATAGCTCACAGTAATCTTGGGCTGTGTCTTGCTAGGAGGTGCGGTCACTTTTAATCTGTCCGAGTAGACGGCGAGGGCAACGAGAATCCGCTGTGGACAGTGTGGACAGTGCATCCCCTCCACCTGGATGGTCACCGACCGCTTCGAGCTGGGTTGACTAGATGGGGCTCTGCTCTCGACGTCGCCGAGGGTGGCCGTGTAACCAAGGCTGTTGATAATGCTAGGAATTTCGTCCAGGTGGTCCTTTCCTTGGAACTCCACCATCGCATTAGCGGAGATGAGGTTCACATCCACTGTGGTGATCCATCCGTACTGTTTCAGCGTGTCGGTCACTTTCCCGACGCAGGAGCTACAGGTCATGCCTTGGATGACGTACGAAGCTCGCCACGTATCTTCCGGTCCGGACGCACTCGGTGGCTGCTGGAGTCGGATCTCCTCACATTCGATCAACTCCGTGGTATAACCCGTTTCCCTAACCGTCTCGAGCAACTCGTCTATGTGCGACTTATCCAGGAGCATGATAACGGCACTGCTCGTCAAGAGATTGACGTCGGCCGATTGTACCCACGGTCGAGTTTGCAAGACCCCGATGATCTTGCTCACACAGGAGCTGCATGACATCCCACTGACGGACAATGTGACTCGCGCCCGAGTGTCGATGAGGTGGTCATCCATAACGGACACGAGCGCTTCTTCTTTTGTCTGACGGATGTGTCGACCGAGCCGATCTTTTTTGTCGGCGACTGCTTCCTTGTGAACGGTAGAGGACGTCTTCGACGACAGCATATCGAGCTGTGCGGAACATGCGTCGTATTTTGAGAGGTGCAATTCGGACTGAGCAAGGACGTCGTGTTCGAGCTCGCCACGGGAGCTTCTTCTTGGAGCTTCTGCGGCGTTGGCCTCGATATCACCCTCGCTGGCATCGGGAATAACACTGTCAACCTCGAAGGCAACATCCTCTAGAGCGCGTACGATGCGGTCGGCGCTAAGCGTAACGGAGTGCACGATTTCGATCTCATGTCGAAGAATAGATGTCGAAATGGAAAATGGAGGCGGCTTTAGAGCCGAAAGAGTCTCCTCGACGTTTGTCACGCACGACGGGCAGTGCAAATTGTTGACTAAGATGGTGGTCAGCCTCGACTGAGGCAGCGACAACTTATCACTCGGAGCCATCTCCGGCGGATAGACGAGAGGGTGAGAGACCAAAGATCCATAAGGTGGTTTTCCGATCTGCGGAGAACAGCTAGCTTTTATAGATCTCGAGCCTTGGTTCAGGATTGGACAGGGTGACTGATTTCGAACGTTCTAGGGTCTGCAAATGTATTACAACTTCCACCACGCTACCGCACTAATCGCGCATGTGCCTGCCAGAGATGACAGATGCTGATTCGAGATCCATGAAGAACTAGATGCGTTATTTGTGCGGCTGAGCCAACGCGGGAAGAAAGCTAAATCGAGGCGCCACTTCACCACGATCTTACCTTAGAGCGGGGGGCAACGCATACAGAGAAAGGTAATATGGCGAAAATAACGCACTTCAGGCCATAGTAAAAATATGACATATCATGAAACCTCAAAAATTAAAATTACCATCTCATTTTTAGTATTCAATATGTCGTGTCAAAGTTGTGAGTTCCCTGACGACAAAAGTCTCTCCGCACGCTTTTGATTAACTTCGACAGTTATACCCAGGTCTGCTTATTGTCCAGTTCGTATTGTTGGTTACCAGTATGCTCATTCATTTGTCATGGACGCTTACCAATGTATAGGTCTAATCCTTGATACCGTCCCTGATTTTGTTGTCTTTGCTGGCGCAGTCACTGCAGCTAGCATACTGATATTGCACCTTTTTAGTTTTATTTTTATTTTTATTCTTTTGGCCGTCTCGATCTTGATCCTCGCGTGGAGCACCCGGCGAGAAGGCTTCAGTCGTAAAAATATACGCCGGCCGATGGTCTGTGCTTGTTTGCGCAATATCACCAACGGGTTCAGTCTTCCGATAAAGCGTCATAGCTGCCACTGGTTTACTCTGTTGGCTTCCTACGAACGACTCGAGCCGAAATAGAGGTGGATATGAGCATCCTTGAGAGCATCCAATTCCGTTCTAGGAGCTTGCAGCGATCATCCAGGAGCCAAGATGATGTATAGATCATTGCCAAAGAACATACGCAATGATTGGTCCCACCTAGCTTATGTGGGTTTTCCTAGGCGCCTGAGCGCCTTTGCATTCCTCGCGATGTGTTTCGTCTTGTACCTAGTATTTAGAAGCCCCTAGCGACACCTTGGTAATTATCTCTATCCAAGGACATGCTCCGAACTTCGATATTTCACATGATACCCTACGTTCAGGGTGCGTCAATCAATCTCTGCCCCAAAAAAGAGCCAGGTATACAATGAGAGAGGACGTACATCAAATTTCTTCCTTTAGTTGGGAGGGTGCACGTGCAAACAGTGACTGAAATGGGAGCGTCACAATTTCATCGACTTGTCTGTGCCACAATAACTGAAACATCACCTAAAATACCGCTCTCCTGAATAGGGGACATATTCACAGTGTACTCTTCACAGTTGAGGTTCGCCATATCAAACTGATTATGAGTACGAGCCCATGGACCATTCCAATACAGCGAGACTATTTGACCGTCGATATCGTGGTATAAATCCAAAGTGCCTTCGACCCCCACTCTGTAAGTTGCGCTGCCACAGAATGATATTGTTCTGTTCTCATCATGTGGAATCATTATTTGATTCACGTCTTCGGGAGACAAAAGCTTAGCGATATCGCTCTTTTCGTACGGTTGACCACTTCCCGAGTAAAGTTAGTTCAATTTCAGTCTCTGAATGGTAATATTTCTCAAATACCAGGTTATGACGGTGTTCTTGATAACAATGTTGCCCTTTGGAAGATCGTTCTGGACGTTGATGGAAAGACGCTGTGTGATATGATGTTCCATCTTCGAGGATTTGAGCTAATACTTTCAGGAAAATGTAGAGTGTACTTGTCAAAATAGAAACTCGCAATAAGAAAAAGTGTCAGAACTAATATACCCGTCCGAGTGCCTTTCGCCACCTGGCACGTTGGGTTCTGGGCTGTCTCTGCTTTCTGCGTTACGCGTAAGAGACATCAATATTCCAAGGAACTTAAAAGACCAGGCCAACCGTTCTGAAGGCCAAGCATCAATATCCAATGCGATCGTTAACTTTTTGACAATTCAATTGTGGGCCCACTTCGGTCATTTGACCAATCCACATTCTTCTATGCGCGATTAGTGCGTAAAATTATGTCATAGTTTACCATGTCCCTGACATCGAGCAGTGCCAAGACCGCGCTAAAATCCGCGAAAATATCGCAGTCTCGTGGCTGTATGGAGGTGACGGATATAATAATGGCGACGTTTTCGCCCCCACAAGGGATTAAAGCGTGCCTTTCTGCAGTAGCTCCTCCTTATCTGCCAAAGATGTCCGTTTGCCGGATTTCGTACGCCATTTGGCTTGCACTTTGTTACTTTGTGTCTCATTCGAATGCTATTCTCCGTACATACAACTTGACGGTGCATAATGACGTTAAAGCTCCGGGTACGTGGACCATGAGCGCCAAACATGGGACTTTCAGAGCTAATTCCTAAATAGATGGTGTCAGCCGCGAAGTCTTTCTGATCAATGGTCAGCTACCGGGGCCCCTAATCGAGGCAGACGAAGGCGACGATCTGGAAATCTTTGTCAAGAATGACCTCCCCGTTGATACTTCTCTTCACTGGCACGGTAAGTCACTTCCATGAGGAAACAGTTTTTTTAGAACCAGTGATCACTGATTGTGCCATAACAGGGATTTTGCAAAGGGGTAGTCCCGATATGGATGGAGTGCCTGGTGTCACGCAGGTCAGTCCTTAAATATTTGACGGTAATTTACATCCTTGTTGCTGATTCTAGACCATAGTATCCCATACCTCCTGGCGGTAACTTCACCTACAGATTCTCGATCAAAGATCAGTATGGCTTCTTCTGGTATCATTCCCACGTTAGAGCATACTACAATGACGGCATAAGAGGGCCACTCTTGATACGACCATCTCCCCAAAGACTGCGGCCATTTGAAAAGCTTGCTCATAGCCCACACGAGCGTGATATCATTCTGCAGACGGAGAGGGACGCTACATCCATTCTTTTAAGTGACTGGACACATGAACTTTCGGACACCATTTACGCTCGATACTTTGAGACAGGCGCTTTTCCAAATTGTGTCGACAGCATCCTTGCCAATGGATTCGGGAGGGTTGAGTGTTTACCGGAGTATATGCTCCAGGCAGGACCCAATATGGGATATGAAGATATGAACCAGCGTTCTTCATCAATGATGGCAATGTCAATGGCGAAACGAATGGACATGGACATGGACATGAGCACGGACGCATCCGCCACATCCTCTCAGATGTCAACAGGTACGATGGCTATGGATACGACCGTGGGTATGACTATGTCTAGCACTTCTATGTCCGCAATGCCGATGTCAGCTACAATGACGATGTCGGACATGTCACCGTCCATGACTTCATTGAGTCCCCGTGGCTGTATGCCGCCAATGATGTTTAGGCAAGGCTACAATGCCAGTTCACTCCCACCTGAGACCTGCACCAATACTTCGTCGTCCTTGCTCACCATCCCTGCGGATCACACGAGTGGTTGGCTCGCGCTGAATCTGGTCAACTCCGGTGCAGTCAGCAAGTTACATGTCTCTCTGGATGCACACTCTATGTTTGTCTATGCTGCCGACGGATTGTATGTGGAAATACAGGAGGTGAAGGTGAGCATACCTTTGAAGAGCATCCGTTATATCCCCCAGCCTGGGCTCACCACACGTCATTTTAGGTCCTGGAAATAGAGATCGGCCAACGGTACTCAGTGATGATTCGACTTGATCAGAAACCGGGGAATTACTATCTCAGATTCGCATCATACCCCAATGGTGACATGCAACAAGTGCTTGAAGGGCAAGCTATTGTGTCCTATAACGTAAGAAAATCGGCAAGCAAGTCGCGACCATATCATGCCCGTGCTGACTTCTCGTTTTCATTTTGCAGATGAGCATGATGAGCAGCAGAACCCCAATGAACGTCACGGTCGATCCCTCAACCATTTGGATGTTGACCAACGGATCAGCCAAACCTGATACCAGCGTACTTAATCCTCAGTTGCTTTCTCCCTTCGCGCCTGTCAACCCTCCCTCATCACCAGCAGATCAGACATACACTTTCACAATTAACCAGACCGACATTGTGACATGGGTAGTGAATGACGCCTCATACTCTGAGCCAAAAATACCAATCATCCAGGGCAACGTATCAGACGGTTGGCAGGCGAATACAACCATCCATGTGCCGTCTAACTCAACGATTGATATTATTATGAGAATTGCAAATGATTCGATGGATACGGTAAGTCTGTTAAATTCCAACGACCTTTCTATGATGTGGACAGCTGGAACTAATGGGAGATAAACTCACCGCAGATGAGCCATCCCATGCACCTACACGGCCACACTTTCTGGGTGCTTGGGTCCGGTACCGGCTCTTTCCCGTATGATTCCGCGACGGACGCCCCAGAATCCCTAATAAATCTTCGAAATCCTCCTTATCGTGACACAACTAATCTTCCTCCGTCAGGATGGGCCGTGATCCGGTAAATCACATGGATATTCTACTGGCAAGACAATAGCTTACCTTTCTTGAAAACAGATATGTTACGGATAATCCCGGCGCGTGGATCTTTCACTGCCATATCCAGTGGCACATGGTGGTGAGTACAAATGGCTAGACAGTCGTATCCTGAATAATCGCAAAAATCTTGGTCTTGCTAACATTACATTATTTTCCTTCACAAGAGCGGCATGGCACTTGTCCTTGTTGAAGGACAGGATCAATTTCCCGCCCTGATTGGTCAGTCTAATAATGGTACCCCTCCTGCTACGTCAGCGGCGCCGATGCGTCGTATCAGCTCTCGTCAAACTGCTTTGACTGCTGCTGCTGCCAGTCTCATGATGTTGGGATGAGTCCGGAATAAAGAGTAGTGCAGGACTAGCAAGGACCACTCGCCAATTGAATTCAAATATATGGTACAAGAAGCCATGTATTTACTTCCATGGTACGATGAATAGGCCTTTTTCCAGAGCGGTTAGAACCGAGTGCGTCGCAGTCGATCAGTACAGGCAGCTGCCCACTGGTCCATTTCAGTCACAAAGATAAGATGTAATTAGGCATGAATTTGTTGTTGGCTGGAATTCTTTGCTCGTATTTGGAACGGAACGCATCTAAGATAACCTGAAAAAGTAAAGGGAGCCCCAACAGCAGACCACTAGCTAGTAGCAGTTTCGAGAAAGCCTCTTTTGGCATTTTCAGGTGACGAATGCAAATGGTATTGTTCTTGTTGAGCAGCTGCGCGAACGATAGGATCAAATGGCATGATGTGCTTGGTGGCTTTGACGGAGACTCGCCACGAGATGCACGGCTCCGTCGCATTGTCACCATGGAATGCCTCCCAGCTAAGGCATACGTTTGCGTTACCGCCTGGTTCAGATACCTGCATCTGATTCAGCGCCCCAGTGACCTGAGAATAGTCAAGCCACAAATTCTCGGCGGGACCAGAGATACCGTGGGTGACATTGAAATCCTCCGACAAACGGATGGTGCCAGCAAATATACCCAAGAAGTCTCCCTCGCATATCGGCACAATAGAAGAGACGAACAGAGTTTCGTCGTCCTTGGGCAGAAGAGTGATGAATGCGGACTTGTCTGACCCGCCTTCGTATACCGATTCATCATCGTGTGGAATGCCAAGAATATCAGTCGAGATAGACTTTGAGCTGCGTTGCCTGAAGATTTCTTCTTCAGCGTTGACGGCCCACTCGTTTGAAGCATTATTCCACGAGGGCTCCGGCACTTTCAGTCGTTCTAGCACTTGAAGATTGCTGAGGTAGCTAAGACGCTTCGAGTCTCCTGTCTTCAACTTGGTAATCCGCATTTCCAATTGTTCGATATGAGATCGATACTCGTTTTCCCATCTCAAAATTTTATCCACGAGTGGAGTTTCCGATGTCTTGGAATAACCCCTGCAGAAACTGTCGAATTCTTTTGTACGGTAGAAGAGAATTTTGTCAACGCCAGCCTCACGCATATCGAATATGTTTTTCCAGAAAATTCGGTACTGTCGCTGGTTTTCTGCACCTACACTATACCCAGTGTCCTCCATGAATTTCTTTGTGGCAGCTTTTTCCGCCATGGTGAATCCATCAGCCGGGCCCTTGGCGGGTGGCAGCGTGGCAGGGTCGATCAGCGCCGCGCACTTGAGAATGATAGGCCAGAAGATAGTTTCGTTGTATCTTGTCTGTATTGCTCTGCCCGTAGTTAAAGCAGTGTCTCTTCGAATGGCGTGAATTGCCTGCTCATAATTGTATCGAGAGACATCTTTGATATGGTCCCGCATCCTCTCGAGCCTAGTTGTTGCTAGGGCCATGCTGTCGCGCTGCCCATATTGTGCGATATCAGAGGTGGATTTGACACATTGCATCAATATTGTTGTCATGATCTTCATCTCGTAGGCTGAATCTAGATGTAATGGCAAAGAGCTGTCACGGGGATTAGGCACACACAAAGATTCAGGGTCTTCGACTTCGGACTAGACGTAAACCATGCATCCATTAGACTTTCTTCAATCTGGAGGACAAAATAACATACCGTTGTTTGTACTTCTGGCGAAATTGATTCCTCGGGAGCCTTAACTTTGGCTGTTCCAGTTCCATCAGCTACTGACGCTCCGGGAGGTTGATCTATCAACTCCGACTGGTCGCTTCTTTTCCTCTTCTTTTTCTTCTTCTTCTCCGTGCTGGCCATATCGCTGTAGGTTGTTGGACCGTTCTTCCCTGTCTGTTTCATAAGTCGATAGGACCCGCGAGTTTCATGTGGTGGAGTCGGAGGGGTTTCTATAGTCGCTTCCTTAGCTTGAGAAATAGGCTCGGTCGCACCTCCAGCGATCACGAGTCGAGCTTTGTAAACTAAAGCGACCGTTAATGATGAATACTCTGAGACGTTGGCGGGGGCTAACTCACCATGATCGGCAGCGTGGGCGATAACCAGATTAAGGTGCTCCTCACTGTCCTCAATTCCGCAAATTGTGAATAGCTCTCGTATCTTCTGGGCTGTCAGGCCCAAAATGGCTTTATCCATGGCGGGCGATGATGATGGCAAAAGACTAAGACTGCGTCTTGTCAATGAAGAGAGAAACCCTTCTGGAACGTTCGGGGCAACGGTTGCCCTCTGGCTTGGGGGGGAGGGAAGAATGAGCCAATCAAATCAACCACAGGCGAGGCTCACAAAAATAGCATCAACCAGGCCAGGCAAGACTTGACCGGGATTGACCCCCTCTTTTTGTTGTGTCTGTGTCGGCCATTGCATATCAAAAACAAATTAAACCATACAACTATGTAAATGGTTCTTTCCGTACCTTCACCGTCAAGGATAGGTGCAACGCCCATCTGGTATGTGACTTACGCGCAAGGACAGGACAGAGCTTTAGGGAATATTGGTATCTGCCCCTGAATTTTCGAATCATATCCCCAGGCGTCTCTCCGTATAGTTTATTCCGAAAATGGGACTGTTCACGATGCGCCAACACACTGACCGCAGGAATGAATGGCCGGATGACATAAATTGAAGCCGATGCATGGTTGCACGATATTCCAGACTGAGCAATATCCCAATCATGTGCGATGTCGGTCGGATGTGGTGAGGAGTCGGTTTTTCGTAGAAATCGAGGCTCGACTCAAGACGTTAAGGTGAACATTTCGGGTGTGTTCAGGACACAGGTGGCGTCCATGGATATGAGTAACTCTGATGAATTCGTGGTTGCATCCGAGTCAACTGTTGAACAGTTGAACCGGAAATGGTAAAGGTTGGTTATGTTGATCATTTAAAAGTGGTGATGAAAAGCAATAAACGGATGGCAGGTGAGAGACGCCGCCTCCTGGACAAGAGTACGGTGGTCAATTACTGCCATTGGCCGAATACACCCACGCTTCCTGGGCCCCGCACACATCACGTGTATCTCAAAACCTTTAAGAGTCACGCCCCAAGTTAACTGCGTGAAATCGTTTAGGCCTCTGTGGTCGGTCGATTTTATGCCACGTATTCAAGGCCAGCTATTTAGTTAACTGAAAAAAGATGCTTTCCACGATAAATACACTACAGAATAAATGAGAGTAGAATAATAGCGTCCCAGGACTTGTCAACGAGTGTTAAGCCCAAACAATGCTGGGGAAAGCATTAAGGTCAACAGGCAAGAGAAGATTCACAGCCATGATTAAACAATTGATTACAGTATCTCGCAGCAATCTGACTATGAAATGGCCGAAAATAATAACAAACCGAGTTCATGTCAGTGGTTGAACGAGACAGGGGTAGATCGCCTGATGGACAACAACCAACCTTTCTTCACTACTAGATCGAGTAGAGTGTAAAATGGAAGCAGAGAGGATTTCGGAGATCGCAAACCAGAAAACCCGTAGGTGAGCCTGTCTGGTGCCTGGCATCTGGCAGATCTGGCAACGTGGCATCTGGATGCTTCCGGGCAACTCTCTTTTTGGCGGTCAGTTTACAATTCGATGTGTATGGAGCAGCAGAGTCTCGGAAGCCAGCGGAATTGATGTTGGACAGATCCATAGGGCAAGCACTCGGAGTCCTTCACCCGTAAAAAGAAGGAAATTGGTATTGTTCGTCGACTCGAAGGCGATATTGGCGTTTGGGCCAGAATCGTGAGGAAAGTTCTCCCAACCAAAGACAATATAGGGCCTCGGGATTGTCGTGTAAAGGCGTACGATGCATGTACATATGTATTGACAATAACTTCGAATTTCAAGTGTTCAACCCATGGGACCCTGGTTCACAATATGCTCCACTCTCACTGACGTCCCTAGTAGAATGAACTCGCACAATAACTCGAGGCTGGAGCTCATGCGGTGCTGCGAGAATTGGCAGGATGTCTGAGAATCGCCCGCAGAAGATAGGCCGGAAAGGAGTATCCCATCAGAAATTCTAATTAAACTGCCTATTCTGCTAGAGAACAGGAGGCTAATAGATCGGTTTTGGGTTGATATCCCCTTTTCCTTGCCCACCATACCAAGATATAAGGAAGAGAACCCTCAGTAGCCAGAGAGTATTTCGTAACAACCTAACCTTTACAACCGAGTCGTAAGCACCGGGAGCAGCTTTTGCAGCCACCCTAATGACCACCGTGGCCGCCCCTGTAGCTTTCCTGTCCACCTTGATACCCGCCGTGGCCTCCCTCATAGCCACCGTGGCCGCCCCTGTAGCTTTCCTGTCCACCTTGATACCCGCCGTGGCCTCCCTCATAGCCACCGTGGCCGCCCCTGTAGCTTTCCTGTCCACCTTGATACCCGCCGTGGCCTCCCTCATAGCCACCGTGACCGCCCCTGTAGCTTTCCCGTCCACCTTGATACCCGCCGTTGCCTCCTTCATACCCGCCGTGACCGCCCCTGTAGCTTTCCCATCCACCTTGATACCCGTCGTGGCCTCCCTCATAGCCACCGTGACCGCCCCTGTAGCTTTCCCGTCCATCTTGATACCCATCGTGGCCTCCCCCATAGCCACCGTGACCGCCCCTGTAGCTTTCCCGTCCATCTTGATACCCATCGTGGCCTCCCCCATAGCCACCGTGACCGCCCCTGTAGCTTTCCCGTCCACCTTGATACCCGCCGTGGCCTCCCTCATAGCCACCGTGACCGCCCCTGTAGCTTTCCCGTCCACCTTGATACCCGCCGTGGCCGCCTGCAGCTTACTATTAGCGACACTCATTGGACAGGAAATCACAAAACTAACCGGCATCAGGTGGTCGTTGGCTCTGATAATCCTGAGGGTGCTTCTGACCGGTCATGGCATCAGTAACTTTATGTAGGATACCAGAAGATGACTGTTGGGAGCCCGGTGTTGTCTGTTGACCAGATATTTGATTCGTGAGCTTGCTTAAAAGATTCGACATTGTAGCATGTAATAACGGGATTCTGCGAATGAAATTTGTATGAGAGAAAATTTGGCATGCGTACGGGCGCTTGAGCGATTTTATGGCTGACGTGACTCCTCATGGCACGAAAAGAGGGGTAGGGTTGTTAAGCCAGCAAACTAAACCCTGTCTAGTGCCCTCTATCAGCTTCGGCCGCGCGGCACCCGATTATCATGATCATGTTGTTCTCTTTCTTAGTTAGATTGTTGGTAGGCTCTCCTAGATCCATATTCATTGTTTTCTCTTAAAACAAAAAATTTTCATCATTTTTCGCCCCTTCCGAGTTGTTCCTGTTTATACCCATCACCATCATTTATAGTACAACCGCCTACCATATGTGGTCAAAACTTGGAAAGTGCAAATGCCGTCACCTTTCCACTGCAAGTTCTATTGATAATGGGGCTGATGGCTGGGCCGGCACTTATCCACAGCAGGTCAGATCTTCGCAGAGATTTCCACAGGTTATCTGGCAGGACAGGGCGATGTTCGACCTCTTCCGAAGATTTTTTTGTCCCGAAGCCTCGCTTAAGATATTACTCGCTGCAAGCTCTGGTTGCAGCGTGGTCGAGTGAATGCCATAGGCATGAAAGCATTCGTTAATCACGTTTGCCAAGTGGACGAAGCTAGAGACCGAATGCTCCTTAACGACTACATGGGCTGACGCAAGCGCCTTTCGCTGGTTTAGGCCCCAAACATGTAGTTCATGCACCGATTCTATTCCAGGGATCTGTTCTAATGTCAGACAGGTTCTTGGTCAAAAGCAATGCAGGAAAGTTAGGGGGATTAACCGTTTCCAAGTCATGCTTTATGTCTCTTAGATCAACCCCAGGAGGCACGCTTTCAAGAAGGATGGAGCCTGATCTTTTAACTTCGCGAGAAAACGCGAATTAGCTTAGTCAAGTCGTCGTTTCTCTTTGCTCACCTAGGGGAACTGATGATATGAGGATCATCACCGCAATTCCCATGCTGACTCCAGGATCTGCATAATATTTCCCGTCATAGTGGGCCAACCAGATGACCAAGGCAGAGATAATGACGCCCACGTTGTTAATCGCATCGCCAATAACGTGAAGAAGCACGCCTAACATGCCAAGATCATACCCGGCCGTTTTCCGTGGATTCGCCTGGTGTCGGTGTTCTTGGTGAAGTGTAACGGGCTGTCCAAATGTCAGAATGGTGTACTCCGGGTTTCGAAGATCTCAAGAGATACCCACCACATCTGCTCCAAGTGAAGCCTCTGCTCTATTCTCATGGCCTTCGTTTGCCGTGGGCTCCCCGTTGTGCGTACGGTCCTTTTCGTGATCATGGTCATGCTCTTTAAGAATATAGTAGTTAAAATGGGCCATTCAAGGGAACGGGATTACCCAACCATGTAAAAATGTGGCACTTATGATGTTGAGCGCTAGGCCAACGCATCCGATGATGAGGATAAGCTTTGGCTTTTCAACTCCTGGAAGATAAAACGTGAGTACGTGGTACGGGCGTCGCGAAGGACCGTTTTCCATACGCTGGAGTGACACAAATCTTTCAATAGACTGTAGGAAGATGCTGACCCCTAACGCGAGGAGAAAGACGCCGTTGAAAAATGCCCCCAGAAGTTGTGCTCGTTGCCAACCGAAGGAAAGTTCTTTAGGGGACTCATCCCGTGCCGATATCTGTTCATCCTAAGTCAGTAACTTCCGAAGGCCGACCCTTAATCAGTTTCACCTTGACAGCAGCATACGCCACGATAAAGCCCACGAGGTCATTCAGCTGTAGTCGTCAGGATGGTGTTTATTTCACGGCGAATCTCAGACTCACATAATGAAACGCATCGGCAACGAGCGCGAGAGAGCGTGTGTAGAATCCAACTGTATGGTGAAACATGGGTTAAACATGATTCTCGGTGAACTCGAGAGCAGAATCAGGCTACGAACCACCAATCTCAGCGATGAAAAATGAGAATGAGATGCCAATAACAAGTAGAAGCCGACGCTCACGGTTCAGCTTTGCCTTGGCGGTCATAATTGCGTGGTCTCTCAGCTGACTAGTAGGTCGCAAGGTAAGAGAGTTGGAAAAAAGTACTCGAAAATATTTCATCTCGCATGTTAAGTCTAGCGCACGGACCCACCTGGCACGAGTGGCGTGAGCAGGCGCATTTTCCTGCTGTCATTCCTTAAGGGCTAGTCGTGCTTACGAATAATGATGTGATTAGGCAATCTCTTCGCGGAAGGAACACAGCCACATGCTATCGTTTCAGCAGTAACTGAAATATTTTGAATGACTACGAGGGTCAAGAAATAGGAGTTGTGGTAAGAAGAAAGACTTTCTGTAATACTAGACTGTACGTGATCCTCCAGAGAAGTTCTGGAACCTTTTTGCCGGCGAAACTTTAACCAGGTCGAGGCCAAAATCTTCTCAAAATGGCTGAGCAATATCATGAGAATATTATAAAATGAGGTACAACGGTAATGCGAACCTAAGGCGAAGACTGGAGGCTACGAGAAGTTGATAGATGACGTCGTCTGAAGATGCTTCCTTGTGCTCACCCACAAGGTCCTCAAATCGTCCCCAAGCTCCTCACTTCCCCAGATCGCACTAGAAGCTTCTTATTTCAACTTCGATCAACTGCTTCGCATATACCCTCAACATCTCGTAAAATTCCACGGATGGGAGTCCCATGAAGTGCAATTTGGACCTTAAGAGTCTCCTGAAATATCCTTCCTTGGAACGCCAGCGATCTCCTCGGGGTTGTCGGATTTTCTTTTTCTAGATATTCCGCCACGTGCACTGACCGTTTCCCATGAAATGCACGTGCGCGAAACATGCTGACTTTTCTGACTTCTTCTAGGCTGGCACTTTTGTTCGTCGTCCAGCAACCCGGATTGTAACTTGTCACGCACGAATGTCGGACCAAAATTGCAGGAACTCTTCCTGCAATTAAGCGACGCCGTCGGTATGGTGCGGGTCAAATGTGGACCCGCAACACCGAAATGCACAAGCCGGATATACACACAGCGATATTTGGAGTCATATTACTGGAGAGTTCAAGGCGTGAGGAGCCCCGCCTTTGATAGGTTGATTGGCTCTGAGCGATGACACGCAATTCGGACGGCTTCGAAAGCTCCCTGCAGGGTACTCACTTGGCTTCTTCCTCTGCTCCGATTGAGGTCACGACTTGCTCTCAACTGAAAGGACCTGGACCCAAAACAACGCCCTGCGCCCAGTACTGACAGGCCACACAGAAATACGATGAACTGCCCCTCGCGAACCGATGAAACCCTCACTCACCCAGGCTGGAACCAGAGCCCACCTACCTTCAGCCCGGACACCACAACCCGTAATGACTTCAACGGCATCTCCAATTCCAGAGTCCATCGTAGACATGCTGCCGGTCGTGGTATAGGCACAGGCGAGGATACACTCTCCATAGATCCGAGACCGCCAAGTCTTGATGACTTGGATTCCGTCCGGGCAAATCTTTCTTCTCTTTTTCAGCTTTAGGCTGTCTTCGCAAATTGACTAAATTTGGTCGTTTTGTCGGCCCTGGTTTCCTCATCTCGGTCGCCTATATCGATCCGGGAAACTATGCCACCGACGTTGCGGCCGGTGCGCAGTTCAAGTATGCCTTGCTGTTCATAATTCTCATGTCTGATCTATTTGCAATCATCCTCCAATCCCTGTGTATCAAGCTAGGCTCCGTGACTGGTCTCAATCTGGCTGAAAATTGCCGCGAACATCTCCCCAGCTGGCTGGTATACATTCTTTATGTATTCTCAGAGGCGGCAATCATTGCAACAGATATTGCCGAGGTTGTTGGATCCGCTATTTCGCTGAATCTACTTGGAAACATTCCTCTGGTAGCCGGATGTGCTATTACCCTGGTGGATGTCTTCTTTCTGCTGCTCTTCTGGCGCCCCAACGGATCCATGTGGGGTTTGCGACTCTTTGAATTTTTCGTCGTGGCCCTTGTATTGGGGGTTGTCATTTGCTTCTGCATTCAGCTCTCTCTCATCAAGGACCAATCGATTGGGGAAGTCTTCCGGGGGTATCTACCTTCATCGACTGTCGTTCAATCTGAAGGGTGAGTAGGAAACATTATCAAAAATCTTGTACAGGTGCTCACCTTGACTTAGTCTCTACCAAAGTTGTGGTATCCTTGGGGCGACCGTAATGCCGCACTCACTCTTTCTTGGTAGCGGAGTGGTCCAGTCTCGCCTGAAAGACTTCGATGTGAAATCAGGCTATGTCGAGCCCACAGTGCCTTTAGGAAGCAACGGTGGGGAAATTGAATACCGGCCGTCCATTCATGCAATTCGTAACTGCATGAAGTATTCCATCATCGAGTTGGCCCTTTCACTCTTCACATTTGCTCTCTTCGTTAATAGCGCCATTCTCATTGTCGCTGGTGCCTCTCTCTATGACGTCCCAGGCGGCGCTGATGCTGATCTCTTTGGAATCCACAAGCTGCTTGTTTCCTCTATTGCCCCAGCTGCCGGTCTTGTTTTTGCTTTGGCTCTTCTCCTGTCCGGTATCTCTGCCGGTATTGTTTGCACTATGGCAGGCCAAATGGTGAGCGAGGGCATGCTGAGATGGAGCATCAAACTTTGGCTTCGACGTCTCATCACGCGCTCCGTCAGTATTATTCCCAGTATTATCATCGCTGCCGCTGTGGGCAAGGAGGGGCTTGACAAGACCCTCACTGCCAGTCAGGTTGTACTAAGTGTTATCCTGCCATTTGTCTCAGCCCCCCTCGTCTGGTTTACGTGCTTCAATAAATACATGACTGTCGCTGCCGAGCAGACCAGTGAAGGCCATGGTGAAGTGGAAGTTGAGCAATTTCCGATGCGGAACCACTGGGCTCTCTGCATCCTCTCAGTCCTTATTTGGCTACTCATTGCTGTGATGAACGTGGCACTGCTGGTTTTGCTTGGAATGGGCAAAGCATCTTAAATTCTGAACATCACTCAGTCATTCTCGCCCGAATTTCTCTACTTCGGCCATCACTACAAAAGACTTGTTCATTCGGACTTGCATTCGTTGCCTCCCCGGCGCTTCAGTAGCATGGGTCATCATGAGAGCACACTAGACCTGTCTACAGACAATGTCGTAGGTGAGGGTAGACGAATATTCCCAAGTGCTTGAAAAAGTAATGGGAATTGCAGGTTCAATGAACAAATATAGAGAGAAGGCCATCAACAACTTGATTGTCCTTCTTCATAAAAGACGCGATGCCTTTTTTACACTGTTCTCGGGGCTGTTGTTTTGAATGTCGCCCAATCATGTGTGGGGCTCTTACTATGCAGATGCAGTCATTTGGTAGCATCAAAGCACCGCCTAATAAAGGCGGACTACCCCGTAGAATCACTCCAATTATGCTAGAGGCTTTGTGCGATCACTTACTCGAAAAACCTACCCTGTACCTGGACGAATTCGCTCTTTAGGCAACGAAATCGAGCATCAGCCGTGCCCTTGCATCCAAAGGCTGGCCAAAAAAGACTGCCCGTGTCAAGGCTAAGAGCGCAACCTAGAGCTTCGTGACGAATACTTGCACTATATCTTACACTTCCAGTCTTACCACCTTTGTCTTTGTGGATGAAACCGGATATGACAAACGGAAAGGCTTTAGGCGAACTGCTTGGTCCCTACTGGGTACGGCGCCAGTTTAAGTGTCTAAATTTCATCGTGATCAGCAATATCAGATACTACCTACGTACGTCTAAGATGGTATTGTTTTACCTCGAGTATTCCAAGGCTCAACCGATGCATCCGTCGTTAAGGATTTTATTGAGTGGCTTCTACAGCGTTGTGGGAAGTGACCAGAGCCGAAGTCTGTTAGTATGCCTTCATTCGGCGAAATTGGCAGTTCTACGAAGAAAATCCGGGCCAGGGATTTGATACCTTCCTCGAATGGTGTGTTGATGTCGTCGATGCAAGGGGAAAAGGCGCAGAGGGCCACTTCCGGCATGCAGGCCTGACTATAGAGGAGATGTAGTGCAGCTACAGTACCGTGGTTGGTTGTTGGTTGGTATCAGTTACCCTGACCCCTCGCAACGAAAAGTTGGTTTACCCAACTAGACCAAAAGCGAATCCGTACCCAGTCTAGTAGGTTGTGGTTTATATTTCAACTTCGAAAGCGATATGCAGGCTACCACCTCTAACGTTATATCCGCTTACGTACATGTAGAGCGTTCCACTCCTGAAAGCGAACTTGGAGCCTCGCCAGGGCTTGCCGTAACCTATTTGCCGTTCCCACTGTTAGGTTGACCCCCGTTTCACGGACTCCGTCCAGACTCAAGCGTCCCAACTCAAACATCATAGAACACACTGGCCCATTGTAATACAGCTTAAAATTCAAGTCTTGGCAGCTTTAAGCCATCGTTAATATCATACGCATACGCTGTGCTGTAAGAAGAGACTAATCACATCAGAAGTGACCGTAGTAGCGACAACATCGAATAGTTATATATTTACTTTTTCAAAGGCGAGAATGAAGCTGAGATGGGGATCTGGAGAACGGAACGGATTGAGTTGAAACTTCCTTGGAGGAATCTTCTCTAATATGAAGCAGACTATCAATAACGACAGAATTGCAGCATTCTGCGAACTGAATATGACAGGAGCTGTCGCATTCCGTCTTGAAAGTGACGATTTCAGTCAGACATTAACGAGAGTTTGCGGAACTTCAGTGGTCGTCATTCGTGCAGTAATAGTGCTTTGTGCCTAGAACTTCGACCAGCGCAGAAGCAGCGCAGCAGCAATAACTGGCAGCACACTCACCAACTCCCCCAGTCCCGCAAACTCTGGGGGAATTCTGGCATTGACAAAAGCACCCGCAGCGAGAAGGACTGCAAAGGCGTTGTATACGAAGCTCCATATAAAGTTGAACTTGATGCGGTTGACAGATTTCCGACTGGCGTCTATCATGGTGGGGACACCAGCCAGATAAGGTCGCATGAGAACCACATCCGCGGCGGATTGCGCGACATCCGTGCCTTCGTTCATGTGGACGCCGATCGTAGCCTGTGCGAGAGCAACAGCATCGTTCGTGCCGTCACCGCAGAAAACAACAACCGGTTTCTTACGATCTATGCCAGTACTGAGAAGCGTCTGGATGTAGTCCTTCTTGTCGGCGGGCGAGCTTCGAGAACGCACGTTACCGCTAGGAATGCTAAGCTTGGACGCCAAAGACTGAACAGCTCCATCATCGTCGCCAGAAACGACATGTACCGAGATGCCACGCCTCTGTAAGGCCTCAATCGTTCCCGCAGCATCAGGTCGAAGCTCATCTTCAAGACCATAGACCGCCTGTAACGCATTGTCGATAGTAAAGCAGAAGACAGTGTACCCTTGAGCAAGCATTGGTTGAACAACTTCATTTTCCGATAAATTCAGCCAGCGAGTATTGCCTGCTCGAAGTTTCCGGCCACCAAAGGTGGTTTCAACACCTTTTCCAGTAAGGCTCTTGGGCTCAGGAACAGTCGAAGCCATAACTCCGGCATCCTTGAGGTGAGCAGCCACAGAAACTGAGACTGGATGTCGACTGTTCTCGATAAGGCCTAGAAGAAGCGGGAGCTTGTCCACGTTGTCGGACTCCGTCGTGACGACAGAAAGCTTTCCCCGGGTCAAGGTCCCAGTCTTGTCAAACACGACGTGCGACGTCTTATGAGCCACTTCAATAGCATCTGCTGACTTGAAGATGATACCTCTTTCGGCTGCGACTCCGCTAGCAATAACAATGACCATAGGAACAGCCAGTCCGATGGCACAGGGGCAAGAAACGATGAGGACAGTAATGGCATAGGTGATGGCCTGAATTGTAGCCTCGGATCCGTCATATCCACGAATAGTCATGCCTACTGCAACCCAGGTGACGAACGTGATGATTGTCAATGCCAGCACAACCGGGACGAAGTAAGATGCTACCCGGTCTGCGAGATCCTGCAGCTTAGGTTTTGACAGTTTGGCCTCATCGACCATCGCAGCAATGGCATTGATAGTGTTATCGCTAGGCAAACGGTTCAGTCGAACAGTCATAACTCCAGATCCATTGATAGACCCAGCAACAACCACGGACTCGGGATATTTATCCACTGGTCTAGATTCACCAGTGAGCATGGACTCGTCAACTTCAGACGACCCATTGATGACAGTGCCGTCGGTCGGGATTCTGGTGTCAGGAAGAACTTTGAAGGTGTCGCCGTATTGAAGAAGTCGAGCGTCAACTTCACGTTCCGTTCCGCTCATTTGGTCGACAATGATAGCTGTCGACGCCTGAAGTGACCGGATAGAAATAGATTCAACGGCTCTCTGACGAGCGAGAGCGGCAACCCATCGACCAACCATGATCAAGGTGACCAAGAGAGTGCTCGTTTCAAAAAATTGACCAGTCGAAAGGGGCTGCTCTGCAATGAGGTACGCAAAGGAGACCACTGAGAATATGTAGGCAGCACTAGTGCTCAAGACGATCAAGAGGTCCATCTCGATAACACTCGAAAAAATGAGAGCCTTTAGGGCCTTAGGATAGAAAGGCCCTGCTATGACAACTTGAACAATCGTGGCCAATGCGAGTGAAGCCGAGGAATATGCCACCTCCCTGTCAGGAAGCGAAGCCCATGCCATGACTAGGACCGGAATCGTCAAGACAGCGGAGAGAAGCGTCATGTATCCGACATGACGAACATGCTTGCTGCCAGCGTCCAGGGAAGGGTCGCCACGTGGAGAAGCAAGTTCAATTGGCGGACCCCAAATCTTCTCGGTGAGGTCTCGAGCTCCCACGATATTCGGATCAAACGCAACTCGCACAGTCTGCTTGTCTACGGGTGCCATGTCAAGAACTCCGTCGGGCCACGTCTGATTAATGAAATTCGAGGGCTCAGCCGGGACGATAAGATCTAGGCTAGATCCCTGGTTCTGGACTCTTTTGCACTTAAATTCAGTGGTTCGCTCCAGATGTTTCATGACTTCCTCAACTGAGCCAAGGCGAAGATCAATGTTAAACTCGGCTCGCGAGAGAACCAGACTGGTTCTCAGGTCTTTGACGGCGGGGACAGAAACGAGGGTTCGGCTAAGCTTTGTCTCGCAACCAGTACAAGTCATGCCAGAAATGCTGAGGACAACATGTTCCTTGCCGGTACCCTGATTTTCTATGTCGGTGACGGCCTGAATCGAGGCTTTGCCAATCTCTGAACCAGGTTCGGGCACAGCAGATGAGCAGCAAGCATCGGTGCAAGAGCCTTGAGGGTTGGCCGGCTGCTTTTCTGTGCAGCAAGAATCTGCGCAACTAGTCATTGGAGTCTTCACGATATCCTGCTTCGGTGGCTTACAGCAAGAGCCAGAGGAGGCGGCGTTGGGTAGCTCTTCGCTAATCGTTTTATTAGCTGTTCCACAAGAAGACCCCGCACATCCACTAGATAGAGGTTCAACAACGGGTCCGACCTTCGAACAGCATGGGTCCGCATAAATGCTCCTGGTGTCATTGTCTTTGACACGCCGGTCTCTGGTACAGCAAGGTGTGGGGCAGCTGACATTGGGAGGGGATTCTTCGACACGGGGAGTCTCCGAGCAGCAAGAATCAAGGCGTCCAGTTTGGGCATCGGACTGCTTCGCGAGCATTTCATGGGAGTAGCAAGACTCGGCACAGTTGTCCTTAACGAATGGAGCCGTGGCGGGCGTGTCCTCAGAGCAGCACGGCTTCGGGCACTTGCTTCTGACAGGAGGCTCTTTGGCGGGCTTGTCCTTCGAACAAAAAGAGACAACGCAGGCATCCGCGGACGCCTTCTCGACAGACGCGGTGCTTTCACGAGAGAGGCTTCGCAGGCGAGGAGGGTTCTGCGCGGCCTGGTCTTTGGTGACCGAGCCGTTGCTGCAGGAGTCCAGTGAAGCGCGAAGGGAGCGAGCAGATGACTTCTTTGAGCACTTCTTCCTGTTCAGTGACTGTCGCTCGCGAATTT